TTATATTATATTATATTATATTATATTATATTATATTATATTATATTTATTATAATTATATTATGGTTTTTATTCTGTGGTCACAATGGGGCTTACCAAACACATCTGTTAAGGTTTGGATCTTAAATGTTCTCTGTAGACTTATTTGTTTGAACATGATCCCTGAGTGGTGGTGCTATTTTAGGTGTTTACTGAGACTTTAAGAGGTGGGGCACCACTGGTGTAAGTAGGCTATTAAAGGAGAAGCCTTGAAGGTTTTCTTCCCCTATGGTTTGGGTCCAGCTCTGTCTACTTCCTGTATGTTGTCATTATCTGACCAGGTCTCATTGCCAGCAGCAAAACTACATCAGCTACCATGCCTTCCCTGCCATGGTGGACTGTGTTTTCTGAACCAAGGATCAAAATAAACCTCTATTTGCTTCTGTAAGGAATATACTCAAAACAACAAGAAAAGTAACTCTGAGTTCATGTCAGAGACAGCCCCTGTTCCTGTTACTAGGGAGCCCATTTGGAGACTGAGCTGCCATGGACTACCTCTGTGCAGGGGTTCTAGGTTATCTCCATGAATGGTCCTTGTTGGAGTACCAGTCTCAGAAAAGAGTGCCCAGATTTTTTGGTTCTGTTGCTCTCCTTGTGGAGCTCCAGACCCTTCCAGGTCTTTCTATCTCCCCCTTCTTCCATAAGATTCCCTGCACTCTGCCCAAAGTTTGGCTATGAGTCTCAGCATCTGCTTTAATACCTTGCTAGGAAGAGTCTTTCAGAGGCCCTCTGTGGTAGGCTCCTGTCTTGTTCCTTATTTTCACCTTCTTCTGATGTCTCTCCCGTTTGCCTTTCTGAATGAAGATTGAGTATCTTACCCAGGGTCCTCCTTCTTGCTTACCTTCTTTAGGTGTATAGATTTTAGTATGATTATCCTATATTATATGTCTAATATCCACTTATAAGTGAGTATATACCATGTGTGTCTTTCTGCTTCTGGGATACCTCACTCAGGATGATCTTTTCTAGGTCCCACCATTTGCCTGCAAATTTCGTGATTTAATTGCTGAGTAGTATTCCATTGTGTAATGTACCACAATTTCTGTATCCATTCCTCAATTGAGGGACATCTGGGTTGTTTCCAGATTCTGGCCATTACGAATAAAGCTGGCTCTTTCATCACCTCCACCTGAGGGAGGAGCAGCCTTACCAGGCCACAGAGGAAGACTATGAAAGACAGTCCTGATGAGACCTGATAGGCTAGGGTCAGAAGGAAGGGGGGGAGAGGTCCTCCAGTATCAGTGGACTGGGGAAGGGGCATGGGAGGAGATGAGGGAGGGAGGGAAGGTGGGATTGGGAGGGGACAAGGGTGGGGCTACAGCTGCGATACAAAGTGAGTAAATTGTAATACATAAAAATTATATTAAATATATATATATATATATATATATATATATATATATATATATACAGAACAGCTATAGTTACAATAGGCTATTTTAAACAAATAATTTCACCGATCAGAGAAAAAATATCCTACACTTTAACTCTGTTATTCAATTTCTGATGCCTCAATTTACATCTCTTTGGTGCTATTAAAAAGTAAGTATATGTGCTTTGTCTTCTGACATCCTCATCTGGAATATGAGTGGCTCATCTCACAATCTTGGTGTGAGGGCTGTGACCCGTGAATTTCACATCTTCAGATATTTTGCTTTGTAGTTAGGCTGGGCTGCTGGGTGGGAAACCGCCACTAATCCAACCAAGCATAGAGAGCATTTCTTGCCATTGGGGCAGTCTTGCTACTCGCTACCATTTTTTTTTCTCTAAGCTCCCTGAGAATGGAGGAGGGGGCTTTCCGTCAGTGTTTCAGAATGCCATGGAAATGGGCTTCTTTTCTGGTTCTCTCTTCCCCTGGAGAGGCTGTGGATCCTGAGGACTTCTGGGGGGTGGGGAAAAGCAGTGTGTCCCCTTGAGAGAGGAGGAGGGTATTATGGTCCTAATGAGACCATTTTCTTTACCATACCAATGAAGGTTTGGGGTTTTTTTGTTTTGTTTTGTTTTTGTTTTTTTGTCTGTTTTGTTTTTTCCAGTTTTGTGGAACATAGAGGTTACAGTCTTGATCCCACACTTTGGGAATTCCACTTAGTACAGGATTTTCCCACTCTGCTATTTATTGTTAATAAAAATTTGAAAGACTAGAAGTAATTTTTAGCATAAAGTTTAACACAAATTAAATACTATATTTACTTATAAGAACCAATTAAACAATATGTATGAAAAAATTGTCTCTTTTAAGGCACAACAAACTTCAGAAAAATTCTCCCATGTTAAATTCCTCCCAAGATATTACAGATAAGCCTAAGCAAGGGAAAGTTCCTTAGAGGACACTGAAGGCAAAATGCTGCCTGCATCACAAGAACAGCTACAGAAGTATTTTAACCAGCAAGTTTTTCTAAGTCCATCCTGGAAGGGGCTGCTACTATGGCCCAGCCTGTTCATTGATGCCATGAGCCCTGAATAAAGAACAGCTTTTCTTGCTGAAGTAAAACGCAGACCTGTCTCAGACCTGTGACAGTTAAAGTCCTAGTCACTACATGACAAAACTCACATGCTAGTCCTTTTCTTCCTCAGGTGAAGTACAGAAAAGGTTAACTTAGCCCATGATTTGCAGGATGTCTGGGAGAAAGAAGAAAGTATGACAGAGCAAGGGAAAAGGAGATGGTGTGCATTTGATGTCACATTCATTGATAAACACAGATATAACCCAGCACTACAAAAATATATGCTGTGTGTATATTTGTATATGTGTATGTATAGATGCATGTGTATATGCATTACACAAACATGCACACATACTGTATGTATGTACATATATGTAACTATGTGTATGTGTATGCTGCCATGTCAACCAACAACAAAATCTTCATACTATGTTCAACAATAACAAAAAATGTAAACATGGGCTTAGGATATTATTTTTAAAGAGAATATAAAGTAAACATTGTGCTAAGCAATGTTGCAGTTGTCAGATGAGACAAGAAGAGAAAGCAATAAGCTTCTGTTTACATTATGGTGAAAGTATGATTCTTTCACACAATCTAAGTCACTATGTTAAGCTTCTTATGCACGTTTTTACTATCCAGTAGACACAGAACTTCCCAGGCTAGCAAGTCACTCTCCCAGGTCCTCTTTGCAAGGTTCTGGCAGAATCCTGGCTGGGAGGGGGCCCAACAGTCCTGTGCACTCCTGGACATGGGTCAGAGCACTCCAGTAGGTGCTCTGCCCACCTACTGGAAACAGGGAACTGAAAGGCAACAACAGATGGAGAAAGCTGGCCTGTCCCAAGCACAGGACACGGAGTCTAAATAAGAGCAAGGGCACAAGACAAGGAGAGCACCCCCCCCCAAAACCAACCAAACAAACAAACATAAAAACCTTATACTGACATTTATAAAAAATAGGGAAGTGGTTTTCTTAGGCAAACCATCAGGGTATCCAGTTAATAGACTACACCTAGAATAAAAATGTTAACAAAACTATACCACAGACATGAGACTGTGCTCAGATCTAATCAGGTAACACAACAAACCTATGTAATTTGGGTTTTTATAAAACAATACAGTAGTAACTGGATAATGTAAAAAATACCTTTTGCATATAACATATAAACCAGTTCTAAAATCTGTAGCTGGGTAGAGTACAAAACTTATTAATTTGGAGCCATGGGTCAAATCTGGCATCCCATCTGTTTTGTTAGAAAAGGCTTAGCTGGAATGTGGTCATGTTGCCTCATTTGCTGGCTGCAGCAGTGTCTGTGCAGCACCGTCAGAACCTAGCACTTACAATAGAGGCTAATAGGACCCCGACGCCTGCAGACTTCACATGAGTGTCCTTCATGTGAAATTTCTGCATGTTCAGATTAGGGATCTTCAATCTGTATGTGTTTTCTCACAGAGACGTGTCTGACAGCCCCACTCCTAATAACCACTGGTCCTAAATATGAGCCCCCTCACCCCTCCCACCCCCACTAAATCTCATGGCTGAGAAGGCAGAAGGCCCTCACCTGCTGAGTAATGCAGGCCTTTGTAACCAATTAACAGTGAAATGACGACGCTTCAAAAAAAAGGTGTCCTGTGGGTGAAAGTACTGAACAGTGTGGAGCCCTGCCACAGTGGTTCTTCCTACCTGTTTCGCTGTCTTTGCAGATGGCAGACTGTTATTGCCATCAAGGACCTTTCCCGCGATTTTGACACTTTTCAAATTTTCTTTAGTGGGGGGCTTAGTCTTCTCATCCATCTTGGAGTCCTCATCACTTTCTGGGTTATTTTTCCATTCTTTCATCATTTCTAATACATTGGTTGTTCTAAATGAAGAAAGTGCATTGCCCTAAGATTAAAAACAAATGTTTGTGTTATAAACAGTTCAGAAAGATTCTTAAATCTCTTAGTAATATATTCTACCCAAATCAGCAATAGTCATAAGGAAATATTTTAATGCCGAGTAAGTAGCAAAACTTGTGGTGTCTGTTGGAGCACGCTTCCTGTCCCACAGTGGCTAACTGCCACATACTACCACTTACGCTTGAACAATGTTAGAGGGAAACTACTCATAAGTTATTAAGGAGTAAATGTAGCCTGCCTGTGCCAAGTACACAACATGGTAATTCTGTGGCAGCCAAGTCTCCTTCTTAGGAAACTGGTAAGACACTGCCCAAAAGCTAGTAGATCCAATGCTAATGGTGAGTCTACCCAATACCAAATGTCTAGGAGAAGCATCCATACACAGTTGATTAGATAAATAGTATGTCTAGGAATATAGATAATTGATAACTTCTATGTAATGTGGTCATTTGGCTATAAATGACTCTGTGCTGTTCCTATCCAAGCTATGACTGTATCAAGCCAGAATTGGCCATTTCACACTGTATTTCTCAGACTTCCCATCTAATGTGCTGAGACACAGATGTAGACTCAAATGCCTCCTGCTTGAATTAAGTTGTTGTGGTTGTTGTTGTTTTAATTTCTTAAAACTGGTAGAGAACATTTGGACAGGATATCTGGATCCCTGTCAGGTTGAAATGAGACCTTCAAGTGTGGGCACGGGTATGTAGAAGTTCTAAGTATGTATCTACCTCTGTATGTAGGTAGATTTAAGTGTTATGCAGTAATGACATAGAAAGCCAGGAAAGAGGGCACATTAAGGACACCTGAATACACTATGGAGGATTTATTGAGTTCAATATAGTCATGGTTAAAATAGATCAGCATCAAGAACAGAATAGTAATAACAAGAAGAGATCACTGGGAGATCTAATCCCATGGCTTGTCTGTTTTGCCCCCTAGAAGGTTAAAGCCTTCCCCTTTTCCTAGCATCTGGGTACTCTTTACACTGGCTGTGCTCATTTCTCCTCTAGCCTCTAGTTTATCCTCCCTTTCTGACAATATGGCCCACACTGCCTTCAAGGACTAGTTTAAAAGTCATCTCTCTTAGGTTTACATAACTGGGAGCACATACAGGGCTAAGGCAGCAGCCATGGAGGGCTAAAACTATCTAAAATGCCAGATTGCCTCAGAGCTCTCATCAGATGGAGTTCTGATCTCCAGGGCTTGCAACTTCTTAGCTCCATCCTGACTTCTGTCAGAATTCACAGTACTCAGGCTCCTAGACTTTAAATGCACACATGGGCTCAGTCTGATTCACTCATTAGCAAAGAGTTATCATTATGTGTCTGTAACCTCAGTCCTGTCCAAATAAATGTTTCCCAGCATAACTCCTTAGCTATTATGAATTTCACTTCCTTCCATCTTTGAATAGGATTGTGTGACTTTGTCAGGATAAATAAATCACTTTTAGGCATAATGAAAGTTTTGTTTCTTTGTAGTTTATGTAAATATGCTTTTGTTTTAATCCCAAGTGTGGGATTTTAGTTGGGCTAGTTTGACCACAGCTGTTAATTGTCACATAAGGGGCTAGGCTTTTGCCAGCTGGTAGCGGCCTTCCACATGCGGCACAGAGGATCATGGTCTAGGACTGAGAGTATTAATATGAGAGCCCAAAAAGAGAAGGTGTGGTGTTTGCTGTTGGTGTGTGGTATGGAGCAGTTTGGAGAGACAGAGAGCAGAGACAGTGTGGCAGTTTGGAGCACACAGACAAAGAGAAATGCTTTTGGGCGCAGTCTTGTGGAGGAAACTGCTAGCTGTGTCTTCGATTGACAGAGATTAGTATAGAGCCCTAAAAGAACCCCTTGATCCTAACTAGCTGGGAGAAGTAAAGGAGTCTGGGTCACCTCTCCACATTAACCTTTTCTCTTTCCTACTTAAGGTTGGGGGGTTGGTGAAAGGGAGGTAGAGGCCTAAATACTTCAAATAAAGTAACGTTAAAAAAAAAAAACTACTACAGGTGGCTTTCCACTACATTTAGGTGATGCATTTTGGGAGAAGAACATAGTTCATGACACTCCTGGTTCCTACTTGGTACCTACAAAGATCTTGAGCCTCTCTTAGCCAGATCTGTGACTGAGAACAAAGCAACTCAGACTTTTGTCAGGCAGTTTGCAATGGAAGATACTAAACACATGTTCTTCACCACAGAGCATGCACCCTGACCTGATAGAAAGAATAAAGTAAATGCTTGCACCCTGAAAGTCACCTCTAAGAAGCCTTAGAAAGATGGACCTCTCTGCGCATGACCATGCCCAACCAACTGATAATCACCGTTTGATTTCGATCTGCACAATATGACAGCGGTTTATTACAGCAATCTTTGTGTTGCAAAGTCCTGATAAGCATATATTCAGCTTTATGATTTAACTAACAGCATCAGTCCCTCAAGAGTGTAGCTCATTCTTCACTCACCTTGGTATATTAAATGTCATTATATAAATTGCAAACCTCACCACTGGCTTTGTAGCCCACATGCTATAGATGTCCATCACAATCAGTGATCAATTGATCAAGTGTATTGGTCCCTGTATACAAGCTGTCTGCTGGATAGTTCATCCATGTGTTTCTTTGTCTCCAGGGAATTACTCAACAAGGATAAAAGCACAGCAAAGAAAAAAAAATGTTAATACTAGAACTGAGATTTGAATCAAACAGAAGTGGGAAAACAGAAGAAACAGTTTGTGATGGGGCCCCTGACATTCCCTGATTTTCATACAGCCAAAGAGAGCAGTGGAGGCAAATTTGACAAGTGAAGGGGTTGTACCAGAAAGGATGGAGATGCTGCTGAAGAAAGGTGTCTGCAAAGAACTCTCAGAGGTGTCTCAGAACACAGAAAGCGCACGAATACAATACTAGAAGCATAAAAAATATATATAGCAATCAGTGGAAGAATTTGCCAGACACAACACTGACCTTCACTCCATAGGTCATTGCTAGGGCAAGAAAGCAAGACTACATACACCAGTCTTGGTGAATGTTTACCAACCGCAACACCACCACCAACCTGGCTATCTTCATGTTTCTAATATTCTATAATGTATTACATGAACATTGGCCTGAATTTATTTCACCTTTATGTATATCTGCAATGAGTAGAGAATTTTTACATTTAGGGTTTTAACAAAGATGTTTGGACATGGATTTTTACCAGTTATGAAGATCATCTTTCAGTTTCACCCCTGTGCTGTCATTTTACATCCCTGTATTATCATGTGGAGTAAGGCTTGCCTATGTTATCCTAAATCTCTAGCAAGCCTTCAAGTGTTGGGATCACCTATATGCATACCCAAGAGCTCAGTTGCTAACACTATATGGTAAGACTTCCTTTGTACTGAAAAAAAAAATTGTCCTATTTCTCAATCCAAAGAGATTTCAGGGAAGAGAAAGGGACCTAAAATAGAGTCATCATCACAAACACTCCCCCACTTAGAAAGTTAACTTTTTGCCTCCTGTACTCACTTGTGCTAGCAAACTTGGACTCTGGATACCCAGAAGTGGAGTCCATGCTGTCTGTGGCTAAAGCCCACTCAGAGGCTACCCTGCCTGTTAGCATTTGAAAAAGAAATTGCATCAGACATTCGGACTAACCAATAAGTAATGGCCCATAGTTATGAGCCTTTCAGCCTAACAGAAATTACAAATGAATCAACCAACAAAGATGGGCTGGAACTGCCAGCAGGCACTAGATGACATAACACCTCAGCACAATAGGCTAAGCCTCTGAACTCCCTTTGCTAGCTGAATCAAGAGTGATCATTTCACTGGAGGCTGCCTCAAGTGGAGACCTTTGGGTTACAATATTCCCATTAGTGTAGCCAACAAGTAGTTGAGGCTAATACATTTTAGTTTGGAGATTAGGCGGAGGTGTATACTGGGGAGGAGCAATGGTCAAGCATTAAGGCAGATCCTGCACCTTAGCAGGAAGCCCCAGAGATGGAGACACAATGATATTTCCTCACCTAATGAAGTCTGACTTCCAAAGAGCGTCATTGTTCTGTAAATAATACCTCTTCAATAAATATTTGTTTTTATGATTAAACATTTAAGCTGGAGTAAGAAGCTAGAAGATAAAATGGCAAAGCTGGAGAACACTCTAGAACTTTAGCGTATCATTAGTTTCTGCTTTTGTAAACAGCTAGTGTACATGCATTGGTGATGTTACTAGGAATAAATTTTTCAACAAAAATGGAACTTTACTGAAAACATATAAAAGGATGTTCAAATTTACAAAATTTGTAAAGCTCAATCCAAACAATGAAATGTTGATTTTTACATAACAATGTGAATAAGTTAAAATGTGTGTAATCTCTATTCATGAGGGTATAGTCAAATCTTATTATTTTCTTAAAGGATTTGTTTTTAGGTGTGTGTGTGTGTGTGTGTACATGTGTATGTGTGTGTGCCTGTGTGTGTGTGTACATGTGTGTATGTTTGTGCAGGTTTCCAGAGTCCAGCAACATCCAGGAAAGGGTACTGGAGTTCCTGGAACTGGATTTTTTTTTTAAATTAATTACACTTTATTCACTTTTTATCCCCCCATAAACCTCATCCCCTCCTAATCCCACCTCCCCCCCTTCTTCATGCATGCCCCTCACCAAGTCCACTGATAGGGCAGGTCCCCCTCTCCTTCCTTCTGATCTTAGTCTATCAGATCTCATCAGGAGTGGCTGCATTATCATCTTCTGTGGCCAGGTAAGGCTGCTCCCCACTCAGGGAGAGGTGATCAAAGAGCAGGCCAATCAGTTCATGTCAGAGGCAGTCCCTCTTCCCATTACTATGTAACCCACTTGGACACTGAACTGCCATGGGCTACATCTGTGCAGGGGTCTTAGATTATCTCCATGTGTGGTACTTGGTTGGAGTATGAGTCTCCGGGAAGACCCCTGTGTTCAAATTTTCTAATTCTGTTGCTCTCCTTGTGGAGTTCCTGTCCTCTCCAGATCT